CTCATGAAGCGGGTAAAACGGGATGGGGTGGAGGGGAGGTCAAATGAGGCCATTTAGTTATTTTAAAACGAGTTGTTATATCAAACTGATGACAAATCTAGCAACAAAATACAACACGACGAATAGACACACAGATGAACTTTTACTAATTATAATTAAATATTTAATGAATACTATCATTAACACGAGGTTTGTTGGGCCTACTACAGCTATTGTCAGTTCAAAGTTCAGGAAAGTTTGTTTGCTCACCCCCCCCCCTCTCCACACACACAAACACATAAATACACCCACACACACACGCTGTCTAGTAGAAACTCTCTGTAACCAGCACAGCATGGGTCAGTCTGATAGACAGCAGGACAGCAAGGGTCAGTTTGATAGAAGGACAGCACGTGTCAGTCTGATAGACGGTGCTACAAGCAAGAGTGTAGCTAGAACTGATCAATGGGGGTCAGGGGTCACAAATCTCCCCCGCCCGTCCCTCGGGAGTCCTCACATTAGTCCAGACGCTCCAGGGAGTACCCAGGTCCCAACCAAACACCCACAACAACCAACACCAACAACAGGCACAACAACCAAGCACCCACAACAGCCACAACAACAGCCACAACAACAAAACACACAACAGACACAACAACCAAACGCATCAACAACAGCCACAAAAACCAAACACACATAACAGGCACAACAACCAAACACCCACAAACAGCCACAACAACAGCCACAACAACCAAACACCACAAACAGCCGCAACAACCAAACAACAACCAAGTTGTCGTGTTGTCACCACGTGACGTATTGTCAAGTGTGACGTACATACAACGTGTGACGTATAGCTAATACGTCTTGTACAGTCACCGTTTGACGTACAGTCACTGTGTGACGTACATACAACGTGTGACGTATAACAAATGCGTCATGTACAGTCACCGTTTGACGTACAGTCACCGTGTGACGTCTAGTCGTCGTGTGACGTACTGTGACGTGTAGCCACCTTGTGACATCGAGTCCTACCAACTAAGCTCCAATCGCAGTGAGTTTATGCGTTCCCCCCTACTAAGTCCATCTAGCTAAGGGACACCACTCTAGCTATAAACTGGCTTTTTATTATGATAGTCTATTATCATGCCAGCCATTAAAGCTACATTGGACAAAGTAGATTATACCCCCCCCCCCCGACCCCCACTCCAATAGCGAGCGAGAATCGTCTCCGTGTGACACTCTTGCGTAAAAGAAATTATATTACTTCCGGTTTACTCAGCGCCATTGTGACTTGTATGTGGAGAGATAGAAATGTATTACAAAATGTCTGCCGTTCACCTACCTGGTTACCTATTACCTGTATTTGGGGTACCCCAGTAACGGGGTCTTCCATGGGACCAGGAGGTGTATTACATTGTGTAGGGGGTAGAGAGAAGTGTTATGGTCTGTGGGCGTCAGGAGTGTGGTCTGTGGCGTCAGGAGTGGTCTCTGGGAATCAAGAGTACATGTTATGTGCGAGTCTGTAATGGTTTCAGGGAGTCAGGAGTGCAATGGTCTCTGGGAGTCAGTAGTGCAATGGTCTCTGGGAGTCAGTAGTGCAATTGTCTCTGGGAGTCAGGAGTGCAATGGTCTCTGGGAGTCAGGAGTCTGTGGGAGTCAGCTGTGCAATGATTTGTTGGAGTCAGGAGTACATGGGTTTGTAGCACCGTCTATCAGACTGACCCGTGCTGTCCTTCTATCAAACTGACCCATGCTGTGCTGGTTACAGAGAGTTTGTGGGCGTCTGACTAAAAATATATCAAGTCAAATTATTGCCTAACTAAAAATATATTAAGTCAAATTATTGCCTAACTAAAAATATATCAAGTCAAGTTATTGCCTAACTAAAAATATATCAAGTCAAATTATTGCCTAACTAAAAATATATCAAGTCATTGCCTAACTAAAAATATATCAAGTCAAATCATTGCCTAACTAAAAATATATCAAGTCAAATTATTGCCTAACCAAAAATATATCAAGTCAAATTACTGCCTAACTAAAAATATATCAAGTCAAATTATTGCCTAACTAAAAATATATCAAGTCAAATTATTGCCTAACTAAAAATATATCAAGTCAAATTATTGCCTAACGACCACCTTAACAGTCCCCTTCTGCGTCTAGAGTTTCTAGAGTGGCGCCCCCCCCCCCCCCTACAGTCAAACCAAAGTAACAACAAACATTTTTAAAAATTGTGGATTGAGGAAAACAAATCCGACTGGTATATTCGGTTCTCAGTCCTCAACTGATCAGGCCACAGGGCGTTACTCTAACGGGCTCCGTCGTAAGGGGACTAAACAGTGGTAGTTGAGTGCAGCAGAGAGGGGGGGGTGTATTGATTTTCTCCTTCTTCTTTGTGCTGCCTGTAGCCGCCTCTCTCAAAGTTCCAGTAGTTGATAGTTTGCTTGAAAACACAGGCACTCTGACCGTGGGATGGGACACCGCCGTACTGGAGGTAAGTTGTACAGTAGTTGATAGTTTGCTTGAAAACACAGGCACTGTGACCGTGGGAGGTAAGTTGTTCATCAAAAGGTAGACTTTCTCATCCGTGGCAGGGAATTAAAGTCTAGGTCTAGTCTCTCATTTCATGAAAGTTACTCCATCGCTTTAAAGTACAGTTCTTATTGTTATAAAGTAAATATCTACTAATTATACAACAAATTATATTATTTATAGCTAAGTCTATTGTTTGTAGTTTAGGTCTATCGTATTATAATGAAGGTCTATTGTTTTATAGTAAAAAAATCTATTGTTATATAGTAAAGGTCTATTGTTTTATACTAAAAGTATATTGCTTTTTTGTAAAGGTCTATTTTTATTGTAAATATCTATAGATTTGTTCTAAAGTTCTTAAGTTTAAAGTGCAGGCATATTGTCAATTGCTTTCAATTACCCGACTTGACTTGACGATACAGATCTATTGTGCAAATGTTTGAAAGAACGGTTCTATCGTATAGGTGCAATAGTGCTCTACTATAGTTCTATCGGCTGAAATCACGAAGCAGAACTGGCCTGTTTTTGTCTAATGAAGGTTGCGTGTGAGAGAGTGGTTTGTTATGAAAATTGGCGGTACGTTGCCATAAATTCTGTTCTATTGCTCGGCTTTGATTGCCCAAATCTTGGACTGGTCCAACGCGGATCGAACAACTTTTTTCTCTATCTCTAACATACATACTACCAACATACAACTTTTTTCTCTATCTCTAACATACATACTACCAACATACAACTTTTTTCTCTATCTCTAACATACATACTACCAACATACAACTTTTCTTGCAATAGTTGGATGCTGTGCTGTTTACTTACTCGATTTATTTGAACAACTTTTCAAATGGTATACATACTTTTGAATACGGTATTTAGAAATAGTATACATACTTTTGAATACGATATTTTGAAATGGTATACATACTTTTTAATGCGGCATCTAGAAATGGAATATATATTTACAACATGGTATTTAGAAATGGTATACACACTTGAATTGAACACTGTATTTAAAAATGGTATACATACTCTTGAATACCGAAATTAAAAACGGTATACATAATTTTAAATACGGTTTTTAGAAATCGTTTACTTATTTTGAATTCTTGTATCTATAAATGGCATAAATACTTTTGAATATGGTAGCCTATCTAGAAAACCTTAATACCTTCGCTGCTGTTTTATACTGTGTTCTGCTACCTACAAACGATGATGTTTGGTGTTAGCCCAAATAAATGCACGCATGTAACATTACAGATGTATGAATAGGTGTGCTAGCCTACACAAGTATCACCTTGACAATTTTTTTTTAACCGCGTGTGAAAAGCCGCGCCATTAAAACGTAAAGGATTATAGAATTGAAGATTTACCAGAAGAAAGGATTCTGTGCAAGTCGAGTCAAAGACAGGCTAATACGGCAAACAAGCGCGACCCCAGCCACACATAAAACCGTTAAATAAACCTTTTCAAACGCTTTTCACTTTTTTTCCGGAAATCTAACCCCACCCTAGCTATGGTATAACCGGTTGGGTGTTTGTTGTATGAAAGGTGGGGGCCTATTTTGAGCGGGTGCTTCTTTGTTGTGTAAGTTTGGTCCGTAGTCCTAATATTATTCACGCGTTTATTTATATTTTAATATCCGCCATTACACTTTCCCTCACCCACCACTACACCATTCACCACTACACCATCCACCACTACACCATCCACCACTACACCATCCACCACTACACCATCCACCACTACACCATCCACCACTACACCATCCACCACTACACCATTCACCACCTACCACCACACCATCCACCACTGCACCCCCCCCCCCACACCACCCCTGCAGTAAGTAACGACAGCATCAATGTTATCGCAGTTTTGTCCTCTTCAAACGACCCTTTCGTGTCACTTTATCTCCGAGCTGCTCCTGTACACACTCCAGCCTGTACACATCTACGGGCGTCACGTGGTACGTGTGTCACAACAAACAGGCACCGCCACAAACTACGTGATACAACTCTCGTTATCTCTTTTGTTTTAGAACATCTCCCGACAGGTTTAGCGAGTGTTTAAACACACGTTTCTTTTCACTAGTAGGTCGTTGACGGGCTCACAAAATTAGGTGGGCCATGTCTTCTTGACCATATTTAAATGCCCATGTATTCCTGGCCATATTTAAATGCCCATGTCTTAGTTGCCATATTTAAATGCCCATCTTGAAATGTTTCTGTGGCCATACTACTATGAAAATTACTCTACACTCGTTTGAATTTGGGTCATAAATAAAGGGTAATTTTTTAATTTCTTAAACTTTTATCTTTTTTTTTTTGGGGGGGGGGGGGGGAGAAGAGAGTAAAAAATGAGACATTATGAAAAAAAATTAATAGATAAGTGAATATGATCCCATCCCAAATTACAAAGTAATGCCTGTATCGACCCTCCCACCCCCACCCCACCCTCCTCCTACCTGCCATTCCTCCACCTTGACTTACCTGGATGTACAAGCCACGTCAAGAATGGATTTCTTCTTGACAAAACTTGACGTTTTTCCAATCAGGTCAATGGGCAAGATTTGTTCAACCCCCATCAAGACTATCAAATGCAATCTGTTCAAATTAAAAGCTTAATTGCCAAGTCCTAATGAAACCTTAATTGGTCTTTTATTTGACCTTCAAGCTGTCAATATCCTACACTGCCTATCAATGTGCCAACCCATCGATATATCGGCGTCCAACTTGAAAAGGCTACAGTAAAAAAAAATGAGGAAGAAAAAAAAAACCGGAAATGCGGCCATGTTGTGTTTATTGTGATCACCGTGGCAGGGAGTTGGGGATATTATAGGTATATAAAGCCACACACACGCCAGGCTTTTATCAGAGAGTCGTTGTCGCCCCCCCCCCCCATCCCCCTGCCCCCCCCCCCACCCTCCCACAACACCGCACCACCCAGCCCCGCCACTTACAGTTCAAGATATTGTGTGTAAGGTCTGACTTGTGTACGTACGTTGACACTGCTGGTCGCTTGTTCATTCTGGTACTGGAGCGGGGATACGATAGGCTGGTCAACACTGACCACTGTAGCAGAACTTTGATGGTCGATGGTTGATACTGTAGCAGAACTTTGATGGTCGTCGGTCGACATTGTAGCAGAATTTTGATGGTCGACACTGTAGCAGAACTTTGATGGTCGTCGGTCGACATTGTAGCAGAATTTTGATGGTCGATGATCGATATTGTAGCAGAACTTTGATGGTCGATGGTTCTATGACCCTATAGAAAATAGTCGAACAATCTAGAACATTTGACCTGCAGATATCGTATCTACATTCGAATAACTTCAGTCACAGATCGTGTACGAGTTATGAGTTACGGCCCCTGGAGTTCTTGCCGTCTGGAAATATTCATGTCCGGGTTTCCGAGAAAACGAGACGCTAGGAGCGTGCGCAGTGGCCGAGAAATTTGTTATTTCCGGTCAACGTTTGAAATTCCCGGAGTCCAACGGACGTCGGTTCCGCACAGTTTAGTGAAATGTGATTGGTCAGCTCAACTGGTCAGTAGTTGTTGTTTTTTTTTTTAACGTTTCAAATTTTGTTAACAACATTGAGTCAAATGTAATTTGATTCTATTATCTTGATGCTAAAAGCTATATCAACACAAACGTTTTTGTAACCCCCCCCCCCCCCCCACCTTGTTACTGGAAGGTCAAAGAAATCCGTTACATGCACGAGTGAACGGGTGGCATGTGACGTCATCCTTTGCCCTACCACGTCAGGACACGCGCTATCACACATGCCACGGTAGACTTGTAACGGTTTCTAGACTTTTGTTAGCCTAACGGGTGATGACCTTGGGTCGAAACGTCCGTTAGATTTCATTTAAATCGTAATCGTACTTGCTAAAGACCCGTAACTCTAGGCACAAGTGACCTCGTGTTAACTTGTAGGTCAGGTGCCTGATGTTAACTTTTAGATCTATGACCTAATGTTAACTGTTGCACACATGACCTAATGTTCACTGTTGCACACATGACCTAATGTTAACTGCTGCATACATGACCTAATGTTAACTGTTGCACACATGACCTAATGTCAACTTCTACTCCCTGGACCTAACGTAAATCGTTACACACTGGACCCCAATGACACCCAAAATTGTTACATCCAGGACCTAATGTTAACTTTAGTAAGTAGAACGTACAAAAGACCTTATGAAATACACATGACCTAACTGTTGATCAAAGACCTAACGTCACATTTAGGAACTTACGCCACACTAAGGACCTAACTCCACACCAAGGACCTAATGCCACACCAAGGACCTAATGTCACACCAAGGACCTATTGCCACAACAGGGACCTAATGTCACACCAAGGACCTAATGTCACAACAGGGACCTATCGAATACGTGTTTACAACCGGCTTGTGTCCCCCGTTCTAAACTAGCACACGGGAATCAAAGGGCCGCTACCACTAAACAAAGTACACCGCCATGGGAGTTACGGTTATTGTTTGGCTTATTGTCTTGTATTGATTAGCGCCATGACAGCCTTCAGCCTGCAATGTGTGGAGCTTGGCGGGATGCAGGATTTTATATCCACCAAACTGTGCCGCCCCTCGCCAATATCCACCAAACTGTGCCACCCCTGGCCAATATCCACCAAACTGTGTGTGCCACCCCTGGCCAAAATCCACCAAACTGTGTGTGTCGCCCCTGGCCAAAATCCACCAAACTGTGCCGCCCCTGGCCAATATCCACCATTCTGTATGTACAACCCCTGGCCAATATCCACCGTTCTGTACCACCCCTGGCCAATATCCACCGTTCTGTACCACCCCTGGCCAATATCCACCGTTCTGTACCACCCCTGGCCAATATCCACCGTTCTGTACCACCCCTGGCCAATATCCACCAAACTGTACCACCCCTGGCCAATATCCACCATTCTGTATGTACCACCACAGGCCAATATCCACCATTCTACATGTACCACCACTGGCCAATATCCACCATTCTGTATGTACCACCACTGGCCAATATCCACCATTCTGTATGTACCACCCTTTGCCAATATCCACCATTCTGTATGTACCACCCCTGGCCAATATCCACCAAACTGTACCACCACTGGCCAATATCCACCATTCTGTATGTACCACCATTGGCCAATATCCACCATTCTGTATGTACCACCCCTGGCCAATATCCACCAAACTGTACCACCCCTGGCCAATATCCACCATTCTGTATGTACCACCACAGGCCAATATCCACCATTCTACATGTACCACCACTGGCCAATATCCACCATTCTGTATGTACCACCCCTGGCCAATATCCACCAAACTGTACCACCCCTGGCCAATATCCACCAAACTGTACCACCACTGGCTAATATCCACCATTCTGTATGTACCACCCCTGGCCAATATCCACCAAACTGTACCACCACTGGCTAATATCCACCATTCTGTATGTACCACCCCTGGCCAATATCCACCAAACTGTACCACCACTGGCCAATATCCACCAAACTGTACCACCCCTGGCCAATATCCACCAAACTGTACCACCACTGGCTAATATCCACCATTCTGTATGTACCACCCCTGGCCAATATCCACCAAACTGTACCACCACTGGCTAATATCCACCATTCTGTATGTACCACCACTGGCCAATATCCACCATTCTGTATGTACCACCACTGGCCAATATCCACCATTCTGTATGTACCACCCTTTGCCAATATCCACCATTCTGTATGTACCACCCCTGGCCAATATCCACCAAACTGTACCACCACTGGCTAATATCCACCATTCTGTATGTACCACCCCTGGCCAATATCCACCAAACTGTACCACCACTGGCTAATATCCACCATTCTGTATGTACCACCCCTGGCCAATATCCACCAAACTGTACCACCACTGGCTAATATCCACCATTCTGTATGTACCACCCCTGGCCAATATCCACCAAACTGTACCACCATTGGCCAATATCCACCATTCTGTATGTACCACCCCTGGCCAATATCCACCATTCTGTATGTACCACCCCTGGCCAATATCCACCAAACTGTACCACCATTGGCCAATATCCACCATTCTGTATGTACCACCCCTGGCCAATATCCACCATTCTGTATGTACCACCCCTGGCCAATATCCACCATTCTGTATGTACCACCCCTGGCCAATATCCACCATTCTGTATGTACCACCCCTGGCTAATATCCACCATTCTGAGTGTACCACCACTAGCCAATATCCACCATTCTGTATGTACCACCCCTGGCAAATACCCACCAATATGGTGTATGATACTACCCACACCAAATCTGGTATATCTCCGGCCTACGTTGGTAGTCTGTAAAACAAAGACCTCCAGCAATACTACTGTAAGCATTCTATTATTGGTAACACTTTTTAAATTGATTTATAGGCCCACACTTTTTGCTTTTTTTTTTTTTTAAATATCTTCTATTTCAAATGAATCAAGACCTATTAATTTAAAAGCTTTTCTTATTTTATAAACACCCATTGAAACTATTTTTAGAATCGATTTCCCCCATTTGAACATGCACCTTTCCTCTCTCTCCCACGGATATTCCCGGTGAACCTACCGGGTATTCCCGATACATACGTATTATTTATCTATCAATCAATGGGCCCACAGACCACCGGAAGCTGGCCAGGGCGGAAGTCGGTTTTAATCGCGCGCTTGACAAAGGCGACAACAGATCTGACGATTGAACCATCGTGAGGGGCGTGGCGGCCATTTTTTTAACGACTCCACAGCATATATATATATATGTTTGTATGTATGTACGTATGTGGTAAAGGTCGGGACTTGACAGCCGTACTTGACAGCTGTACTTGACATTTTGACGCCATGTTTTTCTAATGAAAGACATGCAAGGTGCTCGACGAAACAAAGGTGGGGGGGGGGGGTGGTTAGAAGGGGGTGGGGAGAGGAGGGGCAGAGTGAGATTCCGGTAACGTTGACATCCTCCCAACAGCATCGCTTCTATTGATCAATTGTTGTATAACAGCTTAAAGGTGTATTGGTCTTGTGGGTAAAAATTGTTGTATTACAGGCTTAAAGGTGTATTGGTCTTGTGGGTAAAAATTGTTGTATTACAGGCTTAAAGGTGTATTGGTCTTGTGGGTAAAAATTGTTGTATTACAGGCTTAAAGGTGTATTGGTCTTGTGGGTAAAAATTGTTGTATTACAGGCTTAAAGGTGTATTGGTCTTGTGGGTAAAAATTGTTGTATTACAGGCTTAAAGGTGTATTGATCTTGTTGGTAAAAATTGTTGTATTACAGGCTTAAAGGTGTATTGATCTTGTTGGTAAAAATTGTTGTATTACAGGCTTAAAGGTGTATTGATCTTGTTGGTAAAAATTGTTGTATAACAGGCTTAAAGGTGTATTGATCTAAATTGTTGTATAACAGGCTTAAAGGTGTATTGATCTAAATTGTTGTATAACAGGCTTAAAGGTGTATTGATCTAAATTGTTGTATAACAGGCTTAAAGGTGTATTGATCTAAATTGTTGTATAACAGGCTTAAAGGTGTATTGATCTAAATTGTTGTATAACAGGCTTAAAGGTGTATTGATCTTGTTGGTAAAAATTGTTGTATTACAGGCTTAAAGGTGTATTGATCTTGTTGGTACAAATTGTTGTATAACAGGCTTAAAGGTGTATTGATCTAAATTGTTGTATAACAGGCTTAAAGGTGTATTGATCTAAATTGTTGTATATTAAATTGTGTATTGATCTGTAGCAAATCTTGTTGGTAAAAATTGTTTTATGCTATAAAGGTCTCTACTCATTATAAGGTCTTGAGCAATGTTAATGATCTCGATGGTCTTTAGCACAGAGAATTACCGTGAAGGTCTTTAGCACAGAGAATTACCGTGAAGGTCTTTAGCACAGAGAATTACCGTGAAGGTCTTTAGCACAGAGAATTACCGTGAAAGATTTTAGCACAGAGAATTACCGTGAAGGTCTTTAGCACAGAGAATTACCGTGAAGGTCTTTAGAATTAACATGTTGTAATTGTTTTACATGGCATCTTGTCATGTGGAATAGTCACATGACAAGATGACATCAAATGCCAACATGACATCA